AAAACAAGTTTACATCATATTCTTATGCATGCCAGTGCTGTGTGTGATGTAATTTAAGGTGGTTCTGACAAGTGTCGTCGGCATCTTCATATCCGTTCACATGGGCGGCAAGCCACTCTCATTCATTCACATGGGCGGCAAGCCACTCCCACAAAGGAGGCCACACCCACAGAGTAGGTTTGAACAATTTTTGAAACCCACCACTGTTTAGAACCGAAAAAGGGAAGTGATAAATGTTTACTGTCAGTCACTGTGTTAGAGAGGGGGGGGGGAGGAAGGGGGGGCAAGTTCTCCCAGCAATCCTATTGTTTCAGAATGGGGAGTTTGAGTTCAGTCCAGGAGTACTTTTAAAGATTCATTTTATAATCTCAGCAAGGTTCCCGGGCATTATGTATGTGTTGCCATGAAAATTAAATGGACAACTAATTTCTCTTGAATAACAAAACAGAATAATGTTCTAGAATAAATAACTATGTAGAATGTTACGAACATACAAGGATGACTCCTCTTCTATGGCTAAAATGATCTGATCAAGGTGGATTTACAAATAACAGGTTTTTTAAATCTCATTAATGAGTCTGCCTACTTTCATACATCAAATCAGGCTGTAGTTTCATTAACCATGGGTTGTGTTACATTGATGAACCACATCTGACACTTTAAGCCTCATTCTATAATGACTTAATGTAATGTAAAGCCATAGACAAGTATTTGTTGATACGTACATACATACATTCATTCATTCATTCATTCATTCATTCATTCATTTATGAAAATTTATATGGCTGCCCAACTCATTCTTAGTAACTCCGGGCAGCTTACGAGACAAAAACCCAATATTAAAAAAATCAATGAAAAAATTACTAAACCTCCCACCCACCTGGACTACTATTGATCAAGCCAATAAGCCACTTGATGGGCTCCATCTCACACTGGGTTCCCCAGCTCCATTGGCAAAACCAGATCTTCAGGGCCATGTGAAGGAGTATCAAAATGGACACAATTTATCTCCTCTTTTTCCTCTCTATGCCAATCTCCAGGACTTACTATCAAATATAGAACTGATGTAGGAGCAGTAGACATTAAATCAAAGTTTTCATTGCTTATTAGAGTCGTTTAACAGTGTGTACATCACCATTTATGCCAGTGTTTCTCAACCTTGACAACTTGAAGTCCTGTGGACTTCAAGTTGCCAAGGTTGAGAAACACTGATTTATGCTCTACTTTTATATTTGTAAAAACAATCTTAAAATTCAATATTGAGGGTGTCTTCTTCTCTAATCTAAAAGAAGCTAGAAAGATCAACAGGGACAAGTTGCTGCAGACATCTCAGTTGCAAAGCATAAAATAATTGCTGTGTTAGAGGGGAATATTGGTTGTTTTTTTTACCAATGTTTGTAATACCTAAACTAAGTTCTCCCCTCCTTTTTTTTCTTATTCAGTTCTCGTCTCATTTCCATCCATTTTTCCATCCCTTCTTTCACATCTCACTACAGCTACATTTTCCCTATAAACTATCCTTCTCCATGTATATTCCCTCTGCTTTGTGGCTGTTTCTGATGGGTAAAAAAAAGGAAAGGAATACAAGCATGTACTTGTGTGTTTGAGCAGTTTGTATACATGAGGAAAAAAATTGGTATGTCCAGATTTGGGAGGAAGGATTAAATTTAGAAACAGAGTATGCATATTTTAGGAATTTACATCAATGTGACAATGAGGCCTTATTTTTCTGGAAGGTGGTTTTTAATGAGGACACGCACTCATTCTGCAACCACTTATTGGTTAGCGTTCTTGTGGTAGGGAAATTTCTGGGAGTAGTTTCAAGTGATGGTGATCGCTGTTAAATCAACAAGGTCTCTAATCTAAGCTAGGAAAATTATACACACATACACACTGTTCCTTGGAAGTCTTAAATTCATGGTCATCTTTTTTTAGTAAATGTATTTTAAGTCATGTATTTTTAGTAAATGTTTTTTAGCAAATGTATCTGGTATAGAGGTTAAGGCATCAGACTAGAAACTGGGAGACTGTGAATTCTAATCCTGCCTTGGGTATGAAGCCGGCTGACTGGCCTTGGACCAGTCCAATGGTGGGTTATGACCGGTATGCCCTAGTATGGGCATACCGGTGCCTGCCGGGAGCACCAGGTACCATTCTAATATGATTCTCAGAGGGCCCACCTGCCCACCTGCGCTCCTTACCGGTATTTGACATTTTCGGGGCTTCTGCACAGGTGCACTGAGCATATGGCACCTGTGTGATGCTCCGCCGAGCAGCTGGAACATCGTGGGTGGTAACCACACATGCGTACGCTGTACATGTGTGCGTCTGTGTTGCGCACATTCATGCGGTGGGCGCCCAGCCCCCTTGCACCGTACCGGTTGCAATGGGATCCAGAACCCACCACTGGACCAGTCACTCTCTCTCAGCCCTAAGAAGGAGACAATGGAAAACCACTTCTGAAAAACTTTATCAAGAAAACTGCAGGGACATGTCTAGGCAGTCTCCAAGAACCAGGCAAAACTGAATGGATGAAAGAAAATAATAATAACAATAACTACACGGCTATGGATGAAGCATGTAACAGTGATAACCATTGTCATTGGCGCACTTGGCACCATGTCCAAGAATTTTACAAGATACATCAACAAATTGCATCTTCTTACAATAACACCAGTGGAATTGCAAAACAACTGCGCTACTCGGAACATCTTATATTTTAAGAAGGTTCTTGGTTGATACCTAGGACGCTGCCAGCAAACCGTATCAACCATTAGTACCAGTCACTGGTACTTGTAATGCATTTTTGAATGTTCAGTTGGCTGACTCTCATGTTTAATGAATGAAGTATATAATGATAATGATTATTATTATACAAGTGATCCTCCAATCACTTGTGGAAAAGAAATCCAACAGGTATGAACTGGACCTTCTGGAACCTCTCAGCTGAGCTACACATAATAAGATCATTGAACAAACTGTTTGTTCCATCACGCCTTGAATTGACTCACATGGGATTTTGTTGATAAGTCCTTCAATGAAGCTGGGTGGGACAGTGGTTAGCACAGGACTTGTAGTGAGGTTACTGGAGCCTCTGGGAGCAACAACAGTGATGCCAGATGATGCTTTAGAAGCCATGGTCCAGGAAAAGTGAGCTGGAAAAAAAGGCATAATATAATTATTTAACAAGAGGCTGATTATGTTCCAATGTCACCATATAGATGACTATCATCTTTCATATAACCTGAATTTAAATTATACCTCAGTATCTGCATCAGCACTAGCCAATCAGATTCTAAACTAATACCAGGCAATGGCTCCTCTAAGCACCCGGAATATAATTTATATTAATAGGATCATTCCTTGATAGACGCATGCCTTTCTGCTCTTTTCTGTAGAGTCAGCTTAACTGACAGCCCTTCTAACCCAGAATTGGCTTTCCTATCTGTCAGCCTCTCTTCAACTTCTTAAACAGGAGGTTTTTCAGCCCTAGCTGGCAATATCAGGCTTGAATTGGCATCTCTTGCTTGCAGAAGAGGTACTCTTCTCATTCAGCCCCGACCTCTCTCATGTTCCCATAGTGTAGAAAATGGAGCTTTCAAACCTGGACATGCATGTAGGTATACATGCTGAATACTTTTCTAAGGTATGCTTATTCTTGTGAATGTGACTTAACCAAATGCATAAGGAATTTGTGGGATTTGCCTCAAGGATCCACTGTGCTTCCTTCTGGCAGTGCTCCTAGTATGAAGGTTAACAAATTTGTAATCCAGGCAGATGTGTGTAGGAATTAGAACCAGGTATTACCAGGAAACTTTAGATATGTGAAGCCTCTACTCTGGTTGGGATGGTCTTAGATATTGACAAGTAAAATGTACCTATAAGATGCTGTTACTACCCTGCTTTTGCTTTGCTTGTTAAAACTGTATAAAAGCCAAATAAACTCTGTGTAAGGCAGACAGACATTTTGGACACCACTGCTGTGATGGATTTCTGAAACTACAGATGTGGAGATTAACATCCTCCCTGACATCCCAAGAGCCACACCAGATCAGGATGGTAACCACATCACTGTTTTACCTTGGATTCTAAACAGCATCCACTTGTGCTGAGTGTTAACATACCTGGAATTAATCAAGGAACAGTACTGGAAATGGCAAGTCCTATTTCCCCAGCTACATAAGAATTATTTTTTCTCAGAGCATTCCTTAATAAGAAAGCTCAGCTATTCTTCCAGGAGATAAAGATGTAAAATAGTTGTTAAAACAGATTGTGAGTACTGCATAAACATCCTTCACTAATTAATACCATTGCTCTTTGAGTTATTTTAATTGTTACATTATACAGAATAAAAGAAGCAAAAAGACAAGTTCCTCTCTTCTGAGTCCCACTCACAATGCCAGAAGGCCTTCCCAGGGATCATGGATTCATGGGTGGCCATGGAAGATAGCCTAGAAATTGCAACTAGCTGAGAATATAGAGGCCCTTGCATGTATATGCTTGATATGGTGTCTTTCCCGCAATCAGAGTGCCAGTGTAAGGTATTTTCAATGATACATAAAACCACTATGTGACCTAAGGCCATTGAACTTATAGGATCACCCAATAGGAGAGAATTGTTCTGCATTTCTACATCATTCATTGGCATCAATGCTTAATTAGCTCTTTTCTATGCTATGAAACAAATCTCCCAAGATTTTCTATATTTTAGTTTTTTAATGTGGTTTTACTAGATTTTTTTTAGTATTTTTGTCTTTATTATTAATGGGATTTTAACATTTTTATTATCTTTTTATAAGCTGCCCACAGAGAGTCTTTGTTTGTTGAAAGCCATGACCAACTAATCAACCAAGGTTACTCTAGGCAACGTACGAACAGTAAGGCATCAAATAAAGCCTAATGAAAAGAACATAAAACCATGGTACATGACCTACAAGCAATAATAAAACAAAAAGACAACTAAATGCCAATCCAAAGTGAAATAACACTATTATCCAACTGGGACTGTAACATGTTCCAATTGGATAGTAGTGACTCAAATGCCTGAGAAAAGAACCAGGCCTTGACAGTCTTCTTAAAATCCAGCAGGGTTGAGCGTTTCATTAAGTCAGAAGGAAGGGTGAAGGGTGTGCCTCTTGGATCCCACATGATTCCAATGAAGGTACTCAGAATAGGCTCTTCACAGTGAATGAGGGGAAAGATATATTGGCGATAGGGCAGTTCCCAAAATAATCTGATCCTATGCCATATGGTTAAAGGGATGTGATGGCTCAGTGGCTAAGATGCTGAGCTTGTCAATTGGAAGGGTGGCAGTTTATCACTAGCACCACATAATGGAGTGAGATCCCGTTACTTGTCCCAGCTTCTGCCAGCTTAGCAGTTTGAAAGCCCATAAAAATGCAAGTAAAAAAATAAGGACCCCCTTTGGTGGAAAGGTAACAGTGTTCCATGCACCTTCAGCATTTAGTCATGCCAGCCACATGACCACGGAGACGTCTTCAGACAGCACTGGCTCTTTGGCTTAGAAACGGGGATGAGCACTGCCCCTAGAGCTGGAAACGACTAGCATGCATGTGTGTGAGGAATCATACCTTTACCATCATGCCATATCATAACCAGCACCTTCAATTGCACCCAGAAACCAACTGAGAGCCAATACAGCTTGCAGGGTATTGGTGTCATATGGGCATAGTGAAAAGCAACCATAACTATGTACACCACCACATTCTGCACCAATTATAGCTTCCTGGAAGTTTTCAAGGGCAGTCCCACATACAGCACGTTGCAATAATTCAAACAGCAAGTGACTAAGGCATAAGGCACACAAGACAAAAGCCCCCTGATTACAACTGCCACCCTTCATGCAGGAGTAGTGAGATCAAGAAGATTCCCAAATTGCAGAGGGAGCCCAAGCAAGGCAATGAAACCTCACTCGGAGTTAAGGATGGAAAGTCTCCACTTCTAAGATCCACTGCCATTCAATCTTGGCAGGGTTAAGCCAAGCCTGCCAAAGCCTCGAGACACTGGGACAGAACCTTAAGCACTTCATGAGGATAGGTGGGACAGAGATACAAATTGAGTACCATCAGCATACTGATAATCCTGCACTCCATGCTGACCCAGCTGCTTACTTTCTCCTTTGGCCAGTATACATTCAAAGACCTGCTATAATTGCTCAGAAGTGGTACAACACCTACTGACCATATTAACAGACCTGGGAGGATGGAGGTTCTCTAAATATATATACCTCTATATTTTCTCTATTCATTCTATAATTCTGTAGTTCTATGAAGATGCTATGAAGAGCTACATTTCACCTGTTTCGTTCATAACCATCTTAGGTTTAAAAAAGACAACAAATCTCCTATTTTCTTCCTTCATGCTCCTTGAATTTCTGTTCCTCTTTTTCCATTCTTATACTACTAATACATGCATTACAAGATGTTTTTCCTTCACCACTGAAGAGATTGAGATGGATCCCAGCTAGGATTGACCTTTACTTATCCACAGGCATACATTGTTTTAATATTCTTCCTGTTCACACTTCTCAGGACTTATGTTAATTGCCTAAATCTTAACAGGTACTGGGGATCATTGGGTCTAGAATCTTTTCTTAATCATTCTTAATAGTTCCGTTTCTAGACCATTAAATCTCACTTGGACATTCCTTCTGCTCTTGTCTTTAGATTCCCTTCCCTTTGTATTGTCTTGCATTATCTTACTGGTGTAAAGTTTACCAACTTACTTACACAAGCAATGTGGCAGACCTCGTACCAATAAGGAAGAGTATAGATAAATAGAGGGATACCTGTGCTATGCTCCCACCAACCCTGGAATTCAAAATAGCATGTCTTTCCTTTTTTCCCATTGGCAAATTTCCTTAAAACTGCTTTCCTTTTTTTTTTTTTGTTTCTTCCTCCTGCTTGCCCTCCATTTAATTTCTACACCGGCCAAATCCAAAATGATTCTAGGTGGCATACAAGGTAAATAAAACAAGATGAAAATATAAAGTGCAATTAAGAAAATTATAAATTCAGAAAGCCACCCTAAACCATATGCAATGTACAGTATGCCAAGGACATTTAAGAAGGAATTTCCTTCTCTCTTTTTTTGAAGGGGGGATTAATAAAATCAGGGATCCAGGACAAAAAGTCTTCTCTGCTGTGGCTCCTGTCCTCTGGAACATACTACCCTCTGAGGTGAGATTGGCTCCTACCAGTGATAGGATTCAAGTAATTTAACAACCGGTTCTCTGCCCTAATGATTTCTTCTAAAAACCAGTTTGCCAAACTACTCAGAAAATTAACAATCGGTTGTCCAGAAGTGGTGCAAACTGGCTGAATCCCACCACTGG